GAGGCACCGCTGGGATGTTAAACCGGATGGTGCTTTGAGGTAGAGGCCACCCTGTGCGAGGCTTTCAGGCCATTTTTCAGACAGGATCAGGAGTTGGAGACCAGGGCCCAGGGATGCTGCTCGAGGTGACAGAACTGGAAAAGATGAAGGGAAGACAGAAATGTAACCCAGATTGCATAATGATGCCTGATGCTTTAACCCGACAATGGCCATTGTCGGATGTTGACGTAAACACTAGGTGTCTACAGGATGAATTAGCCAAACGACAACTGCAGTGTGAGGGGAACAGGTCCATTGGCTCAAGACACAATGCCACCACAGGACAGGTTTCACAAAGGGCCATGTCCTGTCAACTTAGTGATCAAACCACCGTGGCCTGGAAACCTGAGATCAGGACCCACAGAAAGACTAGCGGAATGACAGACCAAATGTGGAAGACGTTCCAACCAGGTGTGAAAAAATCATTCTGTGAATTATGAGAGTGTGGGAAAAACATACTCACTGGAAAAAAAAATCCAGTTGTTGTTAAAAATCCAGTTGTTTGTTTATTTATTTATTTTTATTTTTTTGAGACAGAGTCTCGCTCTGTTGCCCAGGCTGGAGTACAGTGGAGTGATCTTAGCTCACTGCAACCTCTGCCTCCTGGGTTCAAGCAATTCTCCTGCCTCAACCTCTCGAGTAGCTGGGACTACAGGCGCAGTGCCACCATGCCCAGCTAATTTTTGTATTTTTAGTAGAGACGGGGTTTTGCCATGTTGGCCAGGCTGGTCTCAAACTCCTGACCTCAGGTGATCTACCTGCCTCAGCCTCCCAAAGTGTTGGGATTACAGGCATGAGCCACTGCCCCCAACCAAGATAGACTTTATTTATTATTTATTTATTTTTTATTTTGAGATGGAGTCTCGCTCTGTCGTCCAGGCTGGAGTGCAGTGGTGTGATCTCAATTCACCACAACCTCTGTCTCCCAGGTTCAAGTGGTTCTCCTACCTCAGCCTCCCAAGTAGCTGGGATTACAGGCGCACGCCACCACGCCTGGCTAATTTTTGTATTTTAGTAGAGATGGGGTTTCACCATGTTGGCCAGACTGGTCTCGAACTTCTGACCTCAAGTGATCCACCCGCCTCAGCCTCCCAAAGTGCTGGGATTACAGGCGTGAGCCACTGTGCTCGGCCGATAGACGTTATTTTTAAAAAAAGTTTTAGATGTACAGAAAAATTAAAAAGATTGTACCTTGTGACCAGTTTCTCCTATTATTCATATCTCACATTAATTTGGTAGGTTTGTTACAATTTTTAAATTTTGAGTTTTTTGAGGCAGGGTCTTCCTCTGTTGCTGAGGCTGGAGTGGCACAATCATAGCTCACTGTAGCCTTGAGCTCCTGAGCTTGAGTAATCCTCCCATCTTAGCCTCCCAAGTAGCTGAAACTACAGGCATGGGCCATCATGCTCAGCTAACTTTTGTATTTTTTTTGTAAAGACAGGGTCTTGCTATGTTGTCCAGGCTGGTCTCAAACTCCTGGCTTCAAAGGATCCCAAGTGCTGGGATGACGGGCATGAGCCTCTGCACCCCACCTTTATGTTATAATTAATGCACCAATGTTGACACATTGTCATGAGCTACGGTCCATATCTTATTCTGACTGCCTTCATTTTTCCCTAATGTCCTTCTTCTGTCCCTGGATTCCATCCAGGGTATCATGTGACATTTAATTGTCATGTCCCTTTAGGCTTCTCTTGTCATAACAATTTCTCAGACTTCCCTTGTTTTTGATGACCTTGACAGTTTTGAGGAGTTCTGGTCAGGTATTTTGTAGGATGCCCCTCTATTGGAATTTGATGTTTTTTTTTTTTTTTTTTTTTTGTATGACCACATTAGGGTTATAGGTTTGGGGGAAGAAGATCTCAGAGGTAAAATGTCATTTTTATCACAGCATATCAAGGGTGCATGCTGTCGATGTGACTTCCGACTGTTGCTGTTGACATTGATCACCTAGCCTGAGTAGTGTTTGTGAAGTTTCTCCACCATCAAGTTGCTCTTTTTTCCTTTCTCCACACTGTACTCTTTGGCAAGAAGCCGCTGTGTGCAGCCAATGCCTGAAGTGTGAGGAGTTATCTCTCCTGCTTTCTGCTGGGGCATCTATGTAAATTATTTGGAATTTTTCTGCCTGAGAGATTTGCCTCTTCATTCCTATCCATTTATTCAATATTTTATTTATATCAGTACAGACTCATGGATTTTTACTTTATTTATACTTTGGGTTATAGTCCAAGGTTGCTTTATTTGTTTTCTTGCTCAAATTGTGCTCACTTTGGCCATTGGGAGCTCTTTCAATTGGCTCCTGCACCCCTTCCGCATACCCCTATCAGTGTAGCTTTCTTGAAGTCCTTTCATATTTTCTGGCACTGCAGATTGTTCCACATTCAACTTATATATTTCCTGCTGCAGTCTTAGAATCAGCGATTTCTCTAAAGAGCCCTGGTTCTTTTTATTAGAGAATGGTATTAGAAACCAAGACCTGGGTGCTGGGTGTGCTCATGGCTGCTGGGGGATCATTTCTTTTAGGCCTTTTCAGCTGACGGAGCAAAGAAATATCTGTGTGTATACTAACCTGTGTATATACACACAGTTACCAATATTTCCATGTGTAACTAGTTATATTCATGTTTAGCTAAACATGAGTTTATGTTGATGTCTCCAGAATCCATTATATGTGATGAATTTAATTAATTATTTTTTTTGTTTTTTAGATATAGGGTCTTGCTTTCTTACTCAGGCTGGAGTGCAGTGGCATGATCACAGCTCACTGCAGCCTCCAACTCCTAGGCTCAAGCAATACTCCCACCTCAGTCTCCTGAATAGCTAGTGCTACAGGAAAGCACCACCACATCTGGCTAATTTAAAAATATTTTTGTACAGATGGAGTCTCACAATGTTGCCCAGGCTGGTCTCTAACTCCTCACCTCAAGTGATCCTTCTGCCTTGGCCTCCCAAAGTCTTGGGATTACATGTGTGAGCCAATATGCCTATCCTATAATATGATTCAAAATTGTGGTGTGACACTAAATTCCTAACCTTATTTATTACTACCTGAACACTTATTATCTGACACGTACTTTCTAAGTGCTCACCACACATTATTTCCTTTGGACCACATGACAGCTCTAGACACTGGTTCTCTGTTCATCCCCATTTTAGAGATGAGGAAATGCAGACACAGATAAGCTATATATCTTGTCCAAAGTTTCTCTTCTAATAAGTGGTGAAGTAGAATTCAAACCCAGGCTCAATCATGTCAAACATTAAAATGTATCTACATTTTGCATTAAATAGAATTCATATACAGCTAAGAGAAAAAGGTCACCTTATGGTTGACTGGTTGACGTAGTATTATAATCACAATATTTCACTTTGATGTTCTGATTTCCCTAGGAGCCAATAAATTTGTGTTTTAATTCTCAAAGTTTTCTGCCTGAGGCTGTGTTTTTGTGAATGGCCAGTGGATGAAAGAGCTCTTATGCTGTTCCCAGTCCGTCCAGCTGCCATGTTGACTCACCCTCAGTCCCTCCCTCCAGCTAGCCCCCATGGGAAATTCACAAGGAAGCAGGGTCTTCTGGGGAAAATGTCCCAGGCAGCTCAGATCCCCTGAGGGTCAATGAGGGAGGGACAGGATGTGTAAGGGGAGGAAGTGGTGGGGGGTGGGGGGTGGTGGGGGTGTGGTGGTGGCAAGAACGGCCTTGGTGCTCTGCCCCCTAGGTGTTCCCAATGTGAATCTGGTCTGACCTGCTGTGCTTCTTCTGCCCGGGCTTCTTGGACGAAACCTGCCCTGACCCCAAGAGTGGCCTCTGGGTGACCCAACCAAAGGCCCCTCCTGCTTCTCCTCACATAAGGCCCCCTCCTCTCAAACCCAAGGCCCAGCCTCTTCCAACTCCTCCAGGAAGCCTTCTCTGTCTACCCTACTCTCAATGATATCCTTCTCCTAAATAAATCTCAATCCTGGGCCAAAGGTCTCACACTAGCAGCCCTCAGATGTGCTTTTTAGGCCTGTATCATGTTTTCTAAACTTTTGATTTGACTCCCAGCATTGAAAAGCAAGAGATTTCACCTAAAAATGTGAACACACAGCCTCTCTTACAAATGTGGAAAGCCTGGCAGCCCCTGGCCCTTGTTCCTTCTGGTGAGCCCGGCCCTGCGCCTGGCACACAGTCTGGGTGCACCAGCCACAGCCTGCTTGGAGCGCTGGCTTTGGAGGCAGGCAGGCCCAATTCGCCCCTTCCTGGCCATGGGACCTGGCAAAAAATGCCTCTTGTGCAGACTCAATTTCCCCATTTGGAACCAGAGCTTAAAACAAAACCTCCTTCATGGGGTTGTAGGGAAGAAGAAATGAACTGATACACGGAGTGGGCTTAGCACAGGCCAGGCACCCAGAAGCCTGGATTAATGATACTTCCTTTTCTTGTTTTCCTTTTTGTTTTCTTGCTTTGGTAGCTCTCATTTCCTCATGGCCCTATCCTTCCCCACTCAGTCTGTCTGTTGGTTCATCCATCCGCTCATTCCACAAATGCCTACTGTGTTCCGGGCACACAGAGGACCCAGTTGCTCTCCTCAGAAAACCCCTCTTCCTGGTCTGCCCAAGCAGAGAGCCATTTTATCCACGAATGCACTCATTCACTCATTCATTCAAATGCTCACTGAATACTGACCGTGTGCCGGGAGTTGTTCTGAACATCAAGGAAACAGCGCTGAACTAAACAGACAAAAATCTCTGCTGTCCTGGGACTGACATTCTACTGGTGGCAGACGGACCATTAACCAATTATAATGTGAAGTAGTGCTAAGTGCCGGGAAGAAAAATCACAGATGTGGCGGGGGCGGCTGCTTGGTCAGGAAGGCCTCTCTGTGAGCAAGGAGGGGGCCTGTGGCTGGCTCCAGGATAAGAACATTCCACGAAGAGGGAACCTGTGCAAAGGCCCTGCGGCAGGTGCAGGCCTGGAGTGTTTGGGGGCAGAGCGTGAGTGGAGGGGTGTGAGTTACACATTTCTGTGATGTTAGATTTCCTCTCCTCCCTGTCATTCTCTTCCCCCTCCTCTATTTTCTCTCTCTCTCTCTCTTTTTTTTTTTTTTAACAATGAGTCTCTTAATTTTGTCATCAGATAGATGTACAAGGACAATACATAAAAATAGAAATAATATCTGGGAAGCAGTGGGCACGTTATTGGCACACAAGAGTGGCGATGGCTGTTCTTACCGTTTCTTCTCATTTCTGGCAGGAATGAATCACTTACTTCCAACGTTTCCTAAACAGGCAATGGGCTCCTGGGCCCCGTCTCACTCGGGAGGGCCTTTCCTCTGTCCCATCATTCTGAGGGTTTCTGGAAGGTGAGTGCGTGGGATGTGTGTGTGTGTGTCTGTCTATATGTGTGTGTCTGTGTGTGTGTGTGTCTATGTGTGTCTGTGTCTGTGTCTGTGTGTGTGTGTGTCTATCTATAGCCAATGTCTGTGTCTGTGTCTGTGTGTGTAGTGTCTGCCATGTCTGTATTATTATCTATGCCTGTGTGTCTATGTGTGTCTGTGTCTGTGTCTGTGTGTGTGTGTGTCTGTGCATGTGTCTGTGTGTGTCTATGCCTGCGTGGGTGTGTGTCTGTGTGTGTGTGTCTGTCTGTGTGTGTATGTCTGTGTCTGTGTGTGTCTGTGTGTGTGTGTCTGTGTGTGTGTCTGTGCGTGTGTGTGTGTCTGTGTCTGTATGTGTGTGTGTGTCTGTGTCTGTGCGTGTCTGTGTCTGTGTGTGTCTGTGTGTGTGTGTCTGTGTGTGTGTGTGTTGCCAAAGAAGGGTGCTGTTGCCTCTTCCCCTTCGCTCCCCTCATCTCCTCTTTTCTTTTCCATCTTCTACCCCTTTGGTGGAAAGAAGCACCCAAGCGCGGGGAGCCTTGTTTCAGGGCCCCTGAGAACTTGCTGAAGCTTGTGATAGCGTGGCCAGGTGGGGTGTGGCTCATTGCATTAATGTTCATGGAACTCTTGAGAATGGGAGTCCTAGAAATAGGGCCCTAGGCCCATCTGAAGTCTTCTCGCTTGTCCCCAGAGCTTCAGGCTCCTTCCTGTCCCCCCACCTCCCTGGATGCTGCCTGGTCCAGCCCCATCATCCTGCCTGCGCCACTGCAGTCACCTCCCGCCTGGGGCCGCTGCTTCTGCCCTGGGCCACCCTGGCTGTTCCTCACACATGGCCAGAGGACCCTGCCAGAACCAACTCAGATCCTGTCCCACCCCTGCTCAGAGCCCTCCCAGGGATCCCACCCCACTCAGAGGCTCTGCTGGGTCCCACGAGGCCCTGCGCGTTGGCTCCTATCTCCTCTCTGAGCTCACCTCTCCCACTCACCGCCTTGCCCTCTGCCCCCTCGCCCAGCCACACTGGCCTCCCTGCTCCGTGACAAGCTCCTGCTCCAGCTTTTGGACCTACTGGACCCCTCCCACCCCAGTGACCTATGCCCCTCCTCTTGGGGTCAGCTGGGCAGCCTGCCGTGCACCCCCTAGCCACCTCCAACCCCAGGAGTGGGGCTTCCTGATGCCAGCCTCCACGCCCTTTATCACATGTGCATTGGCAGTGTTCTGTGGTGTCAGCCCTAGAAGGGTTGGCTGGATCTGGGTGCACTGCGGTGCCCCAGTGCCTGGAACAGTGTTGGCTGCCTGGAACAGTATTGGCGCACAACATGCAGTAGGCATTCAATTTGTGCTTGCTCAATGAGGGAGCCTCAGTATTTTAAAATCAGACCTTGAAAACATTGCAAAGTTCTTAGAATCCCAGGCTTGAAGAATTGGAGACTGGGAGGCAGTGAGGCTGGGTGCTGCGGGCCCATCTGCCCCACCCCAGCCGGCTGTGTGTGTCTCTCTTTTTGAATCTGTTTCTTTTTCTCTCTCTGTCAGAGTCTCTGTCTTGTTCGCCTCCTTCTCATTGTCTCTCTGTGTGTTGTCTGTCTCTGTGTCTCTCTTCTCTGCCTCTTCTCTCCTCTCCTCTCCCCACAGCTTCCTTCCCTGCTCCCCTCCTCCTTTTTTCCTCTCCTCTCTCCTCCCATCCTCTCCCCTTCTCCTCTCCTCTCTCTCTCTCCACTGTTTTGTCTCTTCCTCTCTCCCCACTGTCCATCTCTGTATCTGTCCTTTTTCTGTCTCGGTCATCTGTGTGTCTCTCCTCCTTGCTGTCATCCTCTGTCCCTGCCTCCGTGGGCACCCGGCCAGCTCCTGCTGTGGAGCGTTTTTCTGCCTCTCCATCCTCCATCTGCCCCACCCAGGGACCCTATCCAGTTGTGACAAAGGCGAGCCCATGGCCGGTCCTGTGAGGGGCCGGTGCTGGGCGTGGAAGCTCTTCTTGACCTTCTCACTTGCGGCATGACTGAAAAAGTTGAGAACCATTCTGCTCTCTGAGCTCTGATTTCCTTGTCTCGCCCAAGAGAATAACAATTTCTGGTACTTCCTTGATTTCTATTCTAAGTACGTTTATTATTTCACTGGCTCGTGGTGAAGCTTGGAGAAGTTTGTGGCTGGGGAACCTCACCAACAAAACCCCCATGGCAGCAGAAGCAGGCCGAGCCAGGAGCTGACCATGTGCGACCTGGGCTGGGCATGTTCCCTGGCGGGGGCTTGGCCGCTGTCTATCCTGGGCTCAGCACACAGTGGTCTCTCTCTGCTCAGCCAGGCCTCCTTTCAGAAACTTGAACTCATTAGGCTGCCTCCAGCCACAGGGCCTTTGCGGGTGCTGTTCCCTTTGTCTGGGATGCTCTTCCTTCTGTCTTTGGCCTGGTTAAACTGGGGCTTTCTTATTCTTCTGATTTGGGCTCAAACATCCCCTCTTCCAGGAAGCCCTCCCTGATGACACCCCCCCGAAGTCAGGTCATCTCGTTAACCACTTTCTAGCCCTTAACACAGTTATAATTGTTTATTTGCTCTCAGTCCCCACAGGCCTCCCCACCCCACCTTCTGGGCTTAGGGCTCCCCAGGACGGAAGTTGAGAGGTCCAGGCCCATGAGTCAGCAGAGCTCTGCTTCCCCTCTTAGCACTTTCTTTGGGGCAGTTGGAGCCTGGCCTCCTCCAAGGGGGACTACATTCAGGAGTGCCTAGGTGGTGGGGAGGTGGCCAGGTCCTCTCCCCGCCCCCTACCCCAGCTGCCCAGCATCAGACAGCTTCTCTCCGCCTCTATGCCAACACCTGCCTGAGCCACTGTTGACACACTCACCTCCCCCCACCCCCACTCCACTGCCATCTTCTCCTGAAGAAGCCAGAGGGAGCTTTTCATAATCTAAATCTGGCCCCCAACGGCCGTGCTCCACACCCTTCCATGGCTCCCTGTTACTCTCTGAATAAAGCCCAGCCCCTCAGCCGGCCTCCACGCCCTCCGTGGCCTGGCCTGGCCTCTTCCCCTTCATGGCCCAGCAGCCCCCAGCTCCCAGCAGCTCTCTGCCCCCGGGTCTTCATGCTTGCTGTCCCACCAAATGGATGAAAGCCACCCGTTCCCTCCCTCACCTCCTTCAAGCCCAGACCTCACCTTCCTAGCGAGGCCTTCCCTGACAGTGCTTCTTAAAATTCCAGCCTCTCCACCACCCTTTCCCCTGCTTCCCTCCTTTATTTCTCCCCATAATCCCAGCCTCTGGGAACAGGCCACAGAGTTTATGGATTCACCTTGTTTCTTGTCCGTCTCCCTGACTAGAATGTCAGTTCCCCACGGGCAGGTGCCACTGTTGCTCCTCGTCCTTACTGTGTCCCAAGGAAGGAGTGAGCGAGGCCTGTGTGGCCGTGGGGTCAGACGGGCTTGGGCTCGAGTTCTAGCTCATTCACTGCCTGACTTTCTCCTCTTAGAGCCTCAGTTTTCTCATTAGAAAAATCGGGGGAAACATAGGGTTGGGATAAGAGCTGAGCAAACTCTTGCGTGTAAAGCGTCTAGTGCCTACACGTGTCTAGAGGAAAAAAAAGAGCCGAAATGAAAACTCATCACTCACGATTTCGGGGAGATGGGTGACTGTGCTCAGGCCTGGCCACACCTTAGCGTTGTTACCTGGCCATTGAAAAGTGTGACCCGCAGCCCTCCCAGGACCCTTCTGTTTTGTTTGTTTGCTTTTAAGTATTATTCGTTACATAAGCATTTTTTCCCTCTAGATTCTATTTTTAATTTAAAAATTCAAGCGAAATTAGTGCATGTAATATTCCGCCTTTGTTTTAAAAAGGAGGTGGAAGATACACGTGTATGTTGTTAGACTGAGGAAAAATTCACATAACATGAAAGTAACCATTTAAATGAACTATTAGTTAGCCATTTTAAAGTGAACAATTCAGTGGCATTTAGTCCATTCATAATGTGGTACAACCATCACCTCTACCTAGTTCCAAAACATTTTGTCCTCTCCTCTCCCCTCCGCTCCCCTCCCCTCCCCTCCTTTCCCTTCCCCTTCGTCCACTCTTCTCCCTTCCCATTCCCTCCCCTCCCCTCCCCTCTCCTCTCCTCCCCTCCCCTTCCCTTCCCTTTCCTTCTTCTTTTTTTTTTTTTTTTTTTTTTGATCTCATTCTGTTGCCCAGGCTGGAGTACAGTGGTGTGATCTCAGCTTAGGGCAGCCTCAACCTCCCCAGGCTCACGTGATCTTCCCACCTCAGCCTCCTAGATAGCTGGGACTAAAGGTACATGCCGCCACACCCAGCTAATTTTTTGTATTTTTTGTAGAGACGGGGTTTTGTCGTATTGCTCAGGCTGGTCTCAAACTCCTGGGCTCAAGTGATCTGCCTGCCTCAGCCTCCTCAAGTGCTGGCATTACAGGCATAAGCCACCATGCTAGGACCCAAAACATTTTCAATCACCCAAAGGAGACCATGTACCTATTAAACAGTCACTCCTCATTCCTGCCTCTCCCCAGTTCCTGGCAACCGTCAGTCTTCTTTCTGTCTCTATGGGTTATCTATACTGGAGATTTCATATAAACAGTATCATATAATATATGACCTTTTGTGTCTAACTTCTTTCAATTAGCCTAATGTTTTTGAGGTTCTCCACGTTGCAGCGTGCATCAGTTCATTTAAAAAACTTTTTTAATTTTAATTTTTTTGAGATGGAGTCTCACTCTGTCACCCAGGCTGGAGTGCAATGGCATGATTTCGGCTCACTGCAACCTCCATCTCCCGAGATCAAGTGATTCTCCTGCCTCAGCCTCCTGAGTAGCTGGAATTACAGGTGTGTGCGACCACGTCCAGCTGTTTTGTACTTTTAGTAGAGACGGGGTTTCTCCATGTTGGCCAGGCTGGTCTCAAACTCCTGACCTCAGGTGATCACCCGCCCTGACCTCCCAAAGTGCTGGGATTTCAGGTGTGAGCCACTGTGTCCCACCAGTACTTCATTTTTAAAAAAATAATCAAATACTATTGTATGGATAGATCACATTTTGCATATCCTTTCATCGACTGATGGACAGCTGGGCTGTTTCCACCTTTTGGCTACTGCGACTAGTGCTGCTATGGTAATTGGTATGCAAGGACTTGTTGTGTGTGTGTGTGTGTGTGTGTGTGTGTGTATATATATATATTTTTTTTTTTTTTTTTTTTTTGGAGAGAAAGTCTCGCTCTGTCACCCAGACTGGAGTGCAGTGGCATGATCTCGGCTCCCTGCAACCTCCGCCTCCCGGGTTCAAGCGATTATGCCTCAGCTGTCTGAATAGCTGGGATTACAGGCACACGCCACCATGCCCAGCTCATTTTTTGTACTTTTGGTAGAGGACTGGGTTTCACCATGTTGGCCAGGCTGGTCTCAAGCTTCTGGCCACAAGTGATCAACCTGCCTCAGTCTCCCAAAGTGCTGGGATTACAGGTGTGAGCCACAGTGCCTGGCCTCGTGTGGTTATTCTTGAATAAAAAATACAAGACACAGAAAAGGATGCCCAATGTGATTCTGATTTGTAAAAGGAATGACAGATAAAGAAATCCTCTGTCCAGGCAGACATGGTCTGTATGGGATTTTCATTCTTGTAGAAAAATATGTAAGAATCTGTTCTCAACGGTCAACAAGGGAGAAAAAGAAGGCTTATGCAGAAAAGTAAAAATGAAAAAAGAAGACCGTACACCAAACCACAACAGTGCACACACAATGGCTCCATGCGGGCATGTGAGACACACTAGACTGAGTGATTGTATGTGAAGATGTGAAAAAAACAGCAAGCAACAAAATCAACCCCAAAACTAGTCTCTCTAGGAAGGGCTGGGCAGGAGCCTGGCCAGATGGAGAAACTGAAGTTGGGAACAGGGGAGGGAACTCCTAGAGAGAGTGATCTCCAAAAACTGCTCCTCCACCCCTCCTTTTTAACTCCCTCCCCAAATACCAGGTCCCATTGGAGCCAAATTTCCTCAGTGTTTTGAAATATCAGACCTGCAGGCAGGAGACAGACTCTTCCTCATGGAGGGTGCGATTGGATTTTTAAGCTCCTGTAGATTGAGCGCTTACTACCTACTAAGTGTTTCACCTACCTTGTGACCTGAGTCCTCTCCCAGTGCCTGAGGAAGAAGCTATTGTTCCCTCATTTATTTATTTTTATTGTTACTTTTTTTTTTTTTTTTTTTTGAGATGGAGTCCTGCACTGTTGCCCAGGCTGGAGTGCAGTGGCATGATTTCAGCTCACTGCAACCTCCGCCTCCCAGGTTCAAGCGATTCTCCTGCCTCAGCCTCCTGAGTAGCTACAATTAGAGGTGCTCACCACCACGCCTGGCTAATTTTGGCTTTTTAGCAGAGACAAGGTTTCACCATGTTGGTTAGGCTGGTCTCAAACTCCTGACCTCAAGTGATCTGCTCACCTCGGCCTCCCAAAGTGCTGGGATTACAGGTGTGAGCCCCCGCACGCAGCTGCTCCCTCATTTTTTTGGTTCAGGAAAGCAAAGTTCAAAGAGGAGTAGGTTTCTCTGCAGGGCGTATGGCAGAGCTGGACTTGAACTCAGGGCGGAATCCTTAGCCATGGTGCCCTCTGCCACATGGTTCAGCTTTCCTTCATCTCTACTCCCCAAGATGCCTGGCTCCAGCTGAAGATCCAGGGTTCCCAGGCCCCCCTCCTGGGGACGGGTCCTCCTTCAGCCTGACCCGAGCTCTGCCACTTCCACCGGCATGAACTGTAGCAACAGTTTGGGTCCCCGGGCCTCATTCTCTCCATCTGGAAAATGGGCACAGCATGTGCCTTCCTGCACAGTGAGGTCGTGAAGGATTGATGAGGCGACATGCAAGGAGCATGAGCTTAGGGCCTGGCACCCAGGAGGCCACCCCCGTGGACCCTGCTGGGTTTCCGATTTCCCCTGTGACACCTCCTGGGGGCCGGATCCCCAGCAGGAGGAAGGATGAGGCCTGCGGTGCCTGGTTCTGGCACAATGCAGAGCATTGAGCTCATGCCAGCCTTGGCTTGGGTTTGGACAAATACAGTCATCTGGGCAGGACTCACACAAAGACCCGGGGGCCGGGGCAGGCGAGGGGCATCAGGTTACCCCCGTGGGCTGCAGCCACACAGGTGGCTTGGTGGGTGTATTTTCTTTTCCCTAAAGATTATCATTAACCCTCACTGAGGCCTTGGCAGGCAGGTTTCACTACAGGAAAAACTGAGGTATAGGGGTGTGCAGGCCTGACGGGACGCGCTGTCACTGTGATAGGAACAACATTAGCAATAATAACAGCTGTCCTTCGCGACTGGTTCCCACGGTCTAGGCCCTAGGTGAATAATAAGCCTTTTCTCGACCCTTTCTGCAGCCCGAGAGAAAAGCCCCATGTTATCCCAATTTCATAGATGGGCAAACTGAGGCTTGAAGACACTCTGCAGCCTCCAAGGGCTGTTGTCTTCATTCCTCCAACAGAGTGGGAATGAGACGGTGCAGAGTCTGGAATGTCTGGGCAGAAGGAAGAGCCGGAGCAAAGGCCTGGAGCTTGGAGGGCGCTGTCGGGGGTGGTGGGGGGCGGGGGCGGTGTCCCATGGTAGGGTTTCGTATCAGCTCTGCCATTTCTTGGCTGCGTGACCTCTGGCACCCTACTGGGCCTCTTTGATCCCAGACTACATGTAGAATGGGTGTGTGAGAAGAAAACCTTCTGGAGCAGGGTGTTGAGGAGAGAACAGTGCCTGGCACATCATAATAATAATGCTGAATAGATGTTATTTTCATTTCTAACCACTTCCTCCAGGAAGCCCATCCTGACCTCCTCTGGCTCCCGAGGTCACCTGGACTTGCCCCATCACAGACCTTGCCACAGTGTGAGAAACTGCCTCATCCACATACCAGCTTCTCACCCCCACCCAGACCCTCTGATTGGGACTCCCTTGAGGGCTGTGTCCCCAGAGCCCAGAAAGAGTCCAGCACAGAGCAGCTGAGGGGGTAGATGCTGGTGAACAGTGCCACTGAGCCCCTGCTACTCAGCAAGCCCTTCACACACGGATCCTTCATTTAGTGTCTTTCTTCTCCTAGATAGAACCTTGGCTTTGCCAAGACCAGCATAGTTGCTGCTCAAGAAACTATGTGAAGAAATCGTCGAGATGAACCAGCACTCAGGGGAAGGGAGGCTTTCTGAGGACGGGGCCTTAGCAGGTGGAGCTCCTGGGATAATAAGAAAGATACCCGGATGCGGTGGCTCACACCTGGAATCCCAGCACTTCGGGAGGCCAAGGCAGGCAGATCACTTGAGGCCAGGAGTTCAAGACCAGTCTGGCCAACATGATAAAACCCCGTCTCTACTAAAAATACAAAAAATTAGCTGGGCATGGTAGTGCGAGCCTGTAGTCCCAGCTTCTCGGGAGGCTGAGGCTGGAGGATCAATGATTGAACCCAGGAGGTGGAGGTTGTAGTGAGGTGAGATCGTGCCACTGCACTCCAGGCTGGGCAACAGAGTGAGACTCTGTCTCCAGAAAGAAAGACAACAATAATCAGTAGTCTTTACTCTGCTCCAGGCGCCAGGCTGAGTCTTCTCAGTTCCTCTCCCCAGCAGGTTAGTTCTATTATTGTTTCCATTTCACAGATGGGAAAATCAAGGCACAGGGAGGTGAGGTGGTTTACTCCAGGTCACACAATCAGTGAGAGGAAGAGCCAGGATCAAAGCCAAGCCTGTTTGACTGAGGAGCCTGTCCTGAGACCTTAACCACACACCAAGCCCTCCCTAGAAGGAAGATGCCGCTACTGGACACATTTTGCAGATGGAAACCAAGGCTCTGAGAGTCAGAACGGCCTGCCCACGTCTGGACACAGAAACTGAGGTTGAGCAGGAGATGCTCGAGGCGGGGTTCCTGTCTCCTAGGCCAGCACCCTGAAGGAGGGGTGGGAGACCGCCCCCCACGCCCCAAGCTATCCCCTGCTTGTTGGAGTTTCTGGTCAATACCCTGGTCTCTGTTACCCAGCCCAGCACCCAAGACACTGCCTCTTCCGCCTGCCTGGAGTCTCGGGTCTCGGGTGCCTTCACAATCGGATTCTCTGTCTCCGCAGCTGCTTTCCATTTGAGCTCTTTGTGCTGAAAATAAAAAAAAAATGAAAAGAAAACTTGGCACCGCCCCTCTGCTTTGCTTCCTGGGGAGGAAGGAGGATCCCAGCTACTTCTTTCCCTCATTCTGGGGCCCAGAGATACCCACAGCCTGCCCAAGGTCACACAGCAGGGTCGGAGCCAGGACCCTGGCCTTAGACTCCCTTTCCAGTGCTCTACCCCCTCTGGCCACTGCCTCTGCTATTCCTGGCTCTTCCTCTAGGCCCGTGAGGAGCAGATGAATTAGGATGAATGTTCCTGCACCCTACTACACGCTGGGCACTCTGCCACCTTGAGCTCACAAAACCCTCATGACGGCCCTGTGAGGTCCTGTCACCCCATTTAACCAACGAGGAAGCTGAGACTCAGAGAGGGGAAGCGCCCAAGATCACACAGCCGGGACGTGGCAGAGCTGGGGTTCCAGCTCCTGTTCCCATTGCTGGACAGCTGCCACATCTGGCACCCAATTTAGGACCCTGTGGGGAGGCCCAAGCCCCGGGGGTGGCGGGGGTTCCTAGAGGGAAGTGGCAAGGCCAGGACCCTGGAGCTGAGCCAGGTAAGAACAATGGGTCCTCAGAGACCGAGGTGGCAGGGCGGGGTGGCTGCTGAGCAGGGGCGGCAGGGCGAGGTGGCGGGCGGGGCCCAGGAGACTTCATGCTCCCGCCTCCTACTCCTGCAACCTGTTTGGGACCTGGGGACACTCCAAGCACTTCAGCTCCTCAACCTGGACAGACCCACGGCTCCAGCAGGAGGCAGGGCCAGCCCTGTGTATAACGATAAATGTAGTGGGCAATAATCGGATTTCACGCTTACCGAGTCCTACTACAGGCCAGGCACTGGGCCAAGGGCCCTTCCTGGGTCCTCACAACCAGCCTAGGAGGTGCAACTAGGATTAGTGGCTTTTTACAGATGCGGAAACGGAGGTCCAGGGAGGTACTTAGCACCTGCTGTGCCAGGACAAAGAGCTTTGGAAAGTGGGGCCCTCAGAGGGTGGGTACCCTGTTCCCAGAGGCAGGAAAGTTAAAGTAGACCGGACTCAGTGGGGCTCAGCGGGACACCAGGGAGAGTCAATGCTCTCCGGGGGCAAGATGAATTAGAGGGAGCCCTTTTGGGTTTTCAGAATCTGAATATGGGGTGAGGGAAGCAGAGATGTGGGGAGCAGATGAAGCCTCCCTGGCACTGCTGGCAGAATTAAAGGACTTGATGGACACCTAGGACTTGGAAATGTGCCTGGTAGAGAGTAGGTGCTCAGGGAACACCTCCTGTTTGCAGAAACAGCAACTCACACTTAGGGAGCCTGCTGTGCATCTGAACCCCGTGACTGGGTGTTTCTGACCCCCTTCAGCCCTCATTCCTCCTCTCTCTATTTTCTCCCCTGTCTTGGGTTCATTCCTATTTTTCCTCTTGCCCCAATTAGGCCATCTTCTATGACTGCAACAGTAAAAATATTAATTAAATCTTATAACATGGAGTCTAACATGGGGCCGTTCCAGCATTCCAGGGCGGGCTCCCAGGGCTGTAAGCAGGCATCTCTTCACTTCTCTTTCTTCATGGGCCCCAGTGCCTGCTGTGGCTCAAGACATCACGTCCCACATGATCACATCCTAACCAGGAAGGGATGGACAGAAAAGGGGACTTTCTCCTTCAGGATCTCAATTTTTTTTTTTTTTTTTTTTTGAGATACAGTATCGCTCTGTCACTCAAGCTGTAGTGCAATGGCACGATCTCGGCTCACTGCAACCTCCACCTCCTGGGTTCAAGCGATTCTCCTGCCTCAGCCTCCCATGTAGCTGGGATTACAGGCACGCCCCACCACGCCCAGTTACTTTTTTTGTATTTTTAGCAGAGATGGGGTTTCACCATGTTGACCAGGCTGGTCTCAAACTCCTGACTTCAGGTGATATGCCCACCTCAGCCTCCCAAAAGTGCTAGGATTACAGGCGTGAGCCACCACACCCGGCCAACAATTTTTCTTAGATGTCCCAGTGGATGTCCCCTGGTATCTCATGGAATGATGGGCTCACATGTCCACATTTGAGCCAGAAAGGAATTCCTGTGGCTGACTCATGCCAATTAGGGTTCAGCCTGTCTGGCTGCTCCAAAGAGATGTGGGCTCCGAAGATGATGGGGGCACGGCTGGGATGGCCACCAGCTGGAGTTTCACTGACAGCCTCCTAAGTGACACAGTGGATCTGGGTTTGCTCGGCCTTCTCTGGCTGGTCCTCTTGGCAGTCTCTGCCCTCTGGGTAACTGCCCCCTCCTTGAGCACGGTCTTCCCCAGCCTCTTGATGGCAGCTCGCTGGTCTCGCTGGTTCTCCTCCTACCTCCCCTCCCGTTCCTCCTTGGGCCTCGAAAATGGCCCCTCTTCTGCCTTCATCTGGTCCTTGCTCCATGAGCTCAGGTGTGCGGGGTCCCTCGTGCCTTTACACAGGCTCTGTCAGTCTGTCCATGGGTGTTCCAGTGGCACACCCCGCTGGCAGACATGGGTGTCTTTCCCAGCTCAGAAGACAGCACTGCCACCCACCCAGGGCCAGGCGTCAGACCTTAGGGTTGTTCTTCTCCCCTCTAACCTCCGCATTCAATCAGCAAATTCCATTGGCTCTGCCTGTGGACTTAACCAGAACTCGACAAGTCTTCCCTCCTCTGTCTGGTCATTGCTCACCCGCCTGGGCAGAATCTCCGCCCTGGCCTCCCCACCCACCCCACACAGCCCTCCACACTCAGCCAGAGGGCTCCTGTTGGAACCCAAGTCAGGTCACACCATTGCCTCACTCCAAACCCTGCTCCTACCTCCCTCAGAGAGAAAGACAGTCCCTGCTCCGGCCCCAAGGACAGCCCTGAATGGCCTTCCCCCTCCCTACCTCCCCTCCCCACTCCCCTGGCCACAGTGACCTCCCTCCTCCTGCTAGAACACATGGAGCTTTGCCCCACATCTCCTGGGTGTTGTTTTTCTGGATCTTTCCATGATCGGCCCCATCCCCTCACTCGGACCTGTGTGCCTCAGAGAGGCCTCCCAGACCATCCCTGAAAGAAGCCCTGCCCACCCCTACTACACCTGCCGAAGATCAGCTTCGACAAGCGGGACTGTGTCTTATTCAGCACGGGGCCAGCACAGGGCAGTGCCCAGAACGCAGCGGCTGGCGCGCAGCGGCTGGCGCCGGGCTCCGTGGGTCCTCCCACAGATGCAGTCCGTGGGACGGTGTCTGGGTCCCAAGGTGACCCCCAGGCTGAGGTCACCACCTTTCCCCTTCCAGGATCACTGCCTGGATGATGGTGGGTGTCCCAGTGGTGGGGAGAGCAGCTCTGAGCCTCCACCGTGCCCAGAGCGATGGGCACTGGAGCCTGGAACCTTCATTCCCATATCACAGAACCTCCAGGAGTCTGGAAGGGGACAGTTGAGACGAATGGAATTTAGGAACTTTTGGTCCGTGCTCAATGTTCCCTCTGGGGACATCTTGTCTGATGGTTGTTGTTTTTGTTTTCTCTTTTCCTGAGCTGTGGTACCTATTGTTCAAACAGAGGACCCCGAGCGCTGGCCTGCCTCACTCAGGCACAAGCACCCGAGCTGTCTGGCAAGGTGGAAATCCACCACAGCCAACTTCCCCTTGGGGATTCCACAGGAAGGACGTGGCCCCTCTAACCGAGGCGGATGTATGGTCTCTCCATAGATTCCGCCTGCCTAATCTCACGGCCGCTTCAGCTGGGTCTCATGGGGCCACCCTGTGGCCTGCGTTCAGGGACCACATTGTAGCAACAAGGCTGCGTTAAAGCTGGAATCGCACCCAGCAGACTCGGCCTGGGGGGATCCACCAGCCCACATCTCCCCCGCCCCGGACACAGCCACCTGGCGATTGGCTCTTCTCTCTCCAAAGCCGTATTTGTTCTTTTTGCTGAGTATGTGCAGCTGAATTCTCGTTGGTTAAAGCGCCTGCGCGGTGGCTGCCCTGAATACAAAAAAGATCAAGGGGGTGCTGTCCTGGTAGGTATAAGGAGTGGGGGCCCCCCACCTCTACCACTTCTCCAGGTGACCCGAGGGCCAGTCCTTAGAATACCACCAGGCTCAGTGGAACCCAGTTTGAAAGCCCATGATCAAGGTCCATTCCTTTGGTCTCCATCCGGGAAAGTGAAGGAGAGATGAGGGAGGGGGCATTTTGAGGACCAGAAATGGCGTGGCAGAAACAGCCAGCCTGGAGGAGGGGGTCTGGGCAGGGCAGGACCCAAAGGCTGGAGCAGGAGGTGTCTGGCGAGGCTGTCTGGGGGACGTGACTTCCCTGTCCCCTTCGTTCATTCTTCATCATTCATTCATCCATTCTACACATATTATGAAGCACCCACTGAGCTGGGGGTGACAATGATCCCTGCCTACAAGAAGCTCCTAGGCCGGTGGGGGACATGAACACCCTTCAAAATGTCAATTTGTGACTGCGACAAGTACAAGGTGATTTGCGGGTCAGTAAAGGGGGAAGGAGGTTGGTGTGGTTAGGGTGTTCGGGAAAACTTCCTAGAAGCTGAGCTGGGAACTGAAGGGTGAGCAGAGGCCAAGTACATGAGAAAGGGAGGAACGAATATTCCAGCAAGTGGACACAGCACGTGCAAGGGACCTGCTGTGAAATGGAGCAGAGTCGGAGGGGCTAACAGGCTCACAGTTCCACGTGGCGGAAGCTTTGCAGTGAGGGGCAGGTGTGGAGAGGAAGGCGAGGTAGGGGCTGGACAGACTCCCAGTGAGAGCAGCCCAGTCTCTATGCCAAAGGCAGAGGGGTTCTTGGGAGGGTCTGAGTCAGCAGCACCAGCTTCTTCCTGAATGCTCCAGGGCCTGGGGCCAGGGGTGGGCATCTGGATTTGATCGTCAGTGGGATAGGAGACAGGGTCACCTGGCACTTCTGCTCATCTCTGCCTTCCTGGTTTGGGTATAACAATCACTGTCTCTTTGTCTTTCATGATTTATCTCATTGAACCTCCACCCACAGACCAACCCCTGCAGGTGCCAGGGGTTGAACCCATTTGTCAGATGGGGAAACTGAGTCTGTGATATGTTCCCATGGCCCCACCCGCTTCCTTCTGCCCAGAGAAAAGAGGAACAGGGAACTGATGCCCATGGTCAGCTGGAAAGAGTCTGGGCAGGGAATGGGGAGGGTGGGGCCCTCGGGGGCCTGTGTTCGGGATGGGCAGGGGCCCTGCTTCCGTTTAACCACAGCCCTGTGACATGTCCCAAAAGGGAAGCAGCAGCCGCCTGTCCTTACCCCTCTGTGCTCTAGGGAGGGGGCTGGGGATGCCCAGGGGTGGGGAGCAGGAGTCTGGGGAGGCCTCACCCTCCCACCCCAGGCCTCGAGTCTGGGTTCTTAGAGAACTCTGGGGTCAGCTGAACCCAGCTGGTGACCTCCATCAAGTCCCATGAAGACCTTGGCTTCCTGTTCTGTAAATGGAGGATCAGTCTCTCTTGCGGAATGTTCTCAGATTAGCACACAGTGGGTCCTCACTGAATGGCTAGCCAGCAGTTGTTGGTTGAATAAGCTAAGGGTGTTTTTCTCCTTGAAAGGAGTAGCCAATTAGATAAGGAACCCGTGTATATGACATTCCACAAATATTTATTGAGCACCTATTATATTTCAGGCATTGTCCTGGTACTATGGAGCAATGAACAAACAAGACAAAAATGCCCCCATCACCTTTGGAGCCCACATCTCTTCGGAGCTGCCCTACATTTCCTGGTTTGTGGCAGACATTACTAATTGATCATCTTTCCTACTGAAACCAGAATTCTCTCCAACACCGTGCACCACTCAGGGACTGACATATGGTGGGGAACGGCCTGTCATCCCCAGGGAGGGGTGGCACGTGGGAACTCAGAAGGTCTCAGTGAGAATCTTCTAGCTGATTTAAGCAACTTCCTCTCAGTCTCTTTCAACAAATATTTACTGAACACCTACTGTGTGTCCAGTACTTTGCCAGGCACTGGGGATACAGCAGTGACCAGGGTGGACATTGTCCTTACCCTTGTGGAGCTGATGTTCTGGTGAGAAAGACAAACAAAGAAGCAGACATTTCCAGACATGGATACGTACTACAAACACATGCCAGAGGCGTGGAGTGGAGGGTGACAGGGGAAGAGTCTGGGGTAGCTCGGGGTTGGGGATTCTGGAGGGAGGGCATTTACTGAGACCTCACTGAGATGCAGCCACCAAAAGAAAATATGGGGGAAGGTGTCACAGGCAGCACAGCAAGGGCATAGGCCCAGAGTGGGGAATGAGGTTGATAGATTTAAGGGACAGGAAGGAACTAGTGTTGCTGGCGGGGTATGAGTTTTGGGGAGAGAAGCAGGAGAGGGTGGTGGAGACCAGGCTGGGGCCATACATCCAGGGCTCGGGGCCAGGGGTGAGCTCTGGATCACATCTCCAATGGGATGGGCAGTCACTGGAGGGTCAAAGCAGGGGAGAGACTCGGGCAGGATCCCATTTCAGATCCCTCTGGCTGTGTGAAGCAGGGACACCCGGCCGGAGATGGCCGCAGATGTCCAGGCGAGCGAGGATGGCAACTTGGACGGGGGTGATGCCAGCAAATGTGGGGAGAGATGGCCAGGCCTGGCGGGAGGCCCAGGGCTCTGCATTCCGTTTCATTTTTCCTTTTACACAATCCCCACCCCCCCACCCTGGGCACTCTGGGTCACTGGACTTTCCCTGGCACTGCTGGTGGGGCCCACAACCTGCTGGTGATCTGGCCTCTCCGGGTCCCAGCTGGTTCCCTGCCCTGCCCTGGACCCTTCCTCTCCAGGGACAGACCCAGCTTCAGTTCCTCTGTCGCTGTTTCCCAGCACCTCCTGCCCCAGCTCTGCCTGGGCCCTGCTGATCTCCTAACTCTGCCGCTGCTCCAGCACCGCACCCCCAACTCCAGCCCTGCTGGCTGCCTGGGAGCCGGCAGATGCTTCCTCTGAGCTGCTTTTTCCAGATCAAGTTTGCCTCCAAGGAAGTGAGCCTGAGACTCCCAGCCAGTTGGGGGAGATAAGTTCGAGGGAAGTACCCCAAGGTAGCTTGCCAGAGGGCAGCCTCGCTCTTGGGCAGATTTTTCCTCTGGTCCAGTTTGTTGCTGGATGGAGCAGGCAGATCTACCTTCCCCACTGACTCAGGCCTTGGGTGCTCTGATGGAGACTGTGGCTGGAGAGCTGTATTGAGCAGGGCTCTGAGGCTGCGTCTACGATACTAGGAAGGAGACTCATCATTGATTAGTAATGCCTGCTGTGGACCCAGGATGGAGGATAGGGGCCACGCTGGCCTCATCTGTGTGTCTGCAGCACCCAGTAGGTCCTCAGGTCTGCGCTCCCCTGTTGTGCCTCTAAATCTTCAAGTATAACAAATGCTGTTTGAAAATATCATATGGTGGTGGGCCGAGGTGGGAGGATCGCTTGAGGCCAGGAGTTCCAGACCAGCCTGGGCAACAGAGTGAGAACCCATCTCTAGAAAAAAAAAAAAAAAAAAAAAAAAAATTACCTGAGTGTAGTGGTGCACGCCTCTAGTCCCAGTTACTTGAGAGGCTGAGGTAGGAAAATTGCTTCAGCCCAGGAGATTGAGGCTGAAGTGGGCTATGATTGTGTCACTCCACTCCAGCCTGGGCAACAGGGCAAGACCCCCCATCTCTCCTAAAAAAAAAAAAAAAGGAGAAAAAGAGAAAATACCCCATGGCCTTGGTTTCCTTATCTGTGAAATGGGGATGATGATGACAAGCCCCCAAAGGGCTTCCCCACACCCTGGCAGTGACTGACACAGAGGCCTTGAGAGCTGCGTGTTCCACAGTCATGCTGCTGGTACATGGCTGAGCTGGTGGGGTTTGAACCCTGGGCCCCTGAGTCAGGGAGATCAAGCGGAACAGTTGGGCCGGGGAGGGGAAGGTGCTGCCCAGAGCTCCCAGTGACCTTGGACCCCACTTCTTCTTTCTGCCCAGTGTACTCGGCACACAGGAAGCCTGGCGGGGCCTCCCTTGCCCATCCTGTCTGCAGCCGGGTGGACACGGGGTCCCGGCGTCACCCACCGCCACCCAGGCCTCCCCCTTCCTGTGTTGTGAAAGACCAAGTGTCCCCTGTGTGGAATGGGCAGGCGGCTCTGGCGATGGGTGGACGGGTGAATGGGGCCCTCTCAGGCGGGGTCACTGCCCGCGGTTACCGCTAGCAGGCCTGGCCTAGGCCTCCGCCCCTTCCTCCTCCTTCTCCTCCTCCTCTGTTTCCCCAAAGTTCAGGCAGCCTTAAGCAAGAGGCTGTGGGACCCAGGAAACTGGGGAGGCTGTCCAGCCACCATCTTGTCCCCACAGAGCAGGCCTAGGCTTCGGCGGTCATGGAGAGGTCCTAAACAACAACAAAACTATAATAATAATAATGAGAATAATAATGAGAATAGCTATTATAGTGGAGTGGCTTCTACGCGCCAGGCGTGCTCTCATTTAACCACAAATACATAAAAAGCACCTCCTATGTGCCACATGTGATTCTCAGACCTTTACCTCATGTCCCATCGAATCCCCACCAACCCTTGTGAAACAGTTTTGTTTTTTTTTAATGATTCCTTTCTTCAGAGTAGGAAACTGAGGCTCTGAGAGATGAAGCTACTTGCCAACGCCACGCAGCTCAGCTACATCCCACTGAACATCACCCTGTTCCCTGGGGTGAGTGCTGTTCTGGAAGTTAGGGGCTCAGAAGCTGTTGGTGCCCACCTGGGAGGTCGCCCTCGCAGCTGCTATTCGGAATCTCTTGCCCAAGGGCTTGGGCAAGAGTGTGGGAAATAAGTGAGAGACCCTTGCCAGTAGAGGTGGGGTCTGGTTGTGCCCCCACCCAGCTTCCTTGCTTCTGGTTCAGGGGACAGTGGGAAGGTACTTTCTGTGAGTTCTCCCAGAGGTCCCTGGGGGTTGGGTTCCTGTTGCCCAATGAGGAGACCTGCTCATCCACCTTCCTTGTGTCGCTTCCTCACTCCCTCCTAGTGTTTCTAGAATCACCTCCCAAATATCCCGCTTGCACCCAAACCCTTGTCTTGGCTTAGCTTCTGGGAGCCGACCTCAGCCAGCAGCTATAATGCTCAGGGCTTGAGAGCTTTGGAATCAGGTGGACCTGAGTGTGAATCCCAGCCCTGCCACTTAACCTGAGTGTGAACTTGGGAGCCTGCCCCACCTCTCGGAACCTCAGTTCCTCTGTCTATGAAAAGGGAACTTACGTGCAGAAAACCAAGTGACTATGAGGGGGATGGGGCAGTGTGAGATGACAGGACCAGAGCACGTTCCTGGCTGCAGAGCCCACAAGTCACGCTGTGAGAGTTTTTGGGGTGATATGGGGACAAGGGCGCAGAGGAAGAACCAGTCGCGAGTCCTCAGCCCTGTTTGACTGACGGGGGACGGGGGTGAGTGGGAAAGAGGTACAGCGTTGTTCCACCTTCCCCACCCATCACCCCTGAGATTCCAAATGCACATTGGGACCAACCCAGGGAGCCCAGCGGATGTTCAGGGTAGGGCAAAGAACAGGTGCCAAGTTTGCTCCCTGGGGGCTGAGACTGGGTGGCCGGAAGAGCTGCATCGGTAGGACTTTCACCAGGTAGACAGCAGGCACCTCGTCCCCGCAGATCACAGCTTCTAGGGCCACCTGTCCACAGAATCCCTTCACTGATCTGTGCTCAAGGCTGGGGTGTGGGGAACTGGGTGTCCTTCTTTTACCCTGGGTGGGGCCTCATGCTCAAAGGGAGCTCTGTCTACCCCCACCACAAACCTGCAGTTTCCCTGCTAGAGCGATGGCAATCCCAGCCACCTGGCTGCCCAGGCCCCCAACCGGGATTCTCTCTCTTGTTCCCATGGGCAGCCCATCAGCAAACTCATCCACATGTCCAAGAGTCCACCTCACTACCCTGCCCTGCCCTGCCCTGGTCCAGCTGGGATGGATGTTTGCAGTGGTCTCCTCATTAGTCTCCCTGCCTCCTCTCTCGACTTCCTAAGCCAGAGGAATTCTGTAAGAGCTCAGGTTAGATCCTATCCCTTTTCTGCTCAGAACCCTCCATGGCTCCCAACTCACTCGGAGCAGAAGCTCACAGGGCCTGCAGGATCTACGCCCCAGCCCCGCCTAACCTCACTGCCTCTCTCTTCGCTGCTCATCCACAGCCACGGTGGCCTCATCTCTGTGCCATAAACTCGCCAATTATCCTGCTGCTGCCTCAGGGACTTTGCACCCACTCTTCCCTCTGGAACAGAGGACATTCCTGCCAGCTCTGCCCATGGTGGACCCTTGTGTAGGGTCAGGCCTCTGTTCCAAAGTCACCCCTGGGGACGCTTTCTCTGACCAGCCCCTCATTCCTATGGCCTCATGCTGTTTTTATTTCTTCCTAGGACTTAGCACGTATCCTAGAAATTAACCTGCTGGTTGATCCTGTTTCTTGTCTGTCTCTTTCCAGTGGAATGTCACCATCGCCCAGGTGGGGATTTTTGTGTGTTTTGTTCACTGCTGTACACCCAGCCCCCAGCACAGCGCCTGTCCAGGGCAAGTGCCCAGTGAACACTCAGGAACCAGAGCATGCATGCATGGATAAATATTTCTTTGGCAGATGAAGGGGCTGAGGCTCGGAGGAGGCCCTGGGGGTCTCAGACTCACAGCCCAGTGCTCTTTCTGCTGACACACCCTGGTCTCTGGAGCAGTTTGTTGCCTGTTCAACAACAAAGAGGGCGTGCCTGGTTAGGGGTCCTGCGTGCGAATCGCAGTCCCTGCGTGTCTTGGCTGGAGGTCACCACCCTCTCTGCTCCAGGGCCTGTAATTACCACTTACCCTGGTCAGTGGGTCCGAGAGATTCCCCATGTAGGCAGGGCTGTGGCCAGGGTGCTCACCTGGCCCCCGGCAGGTCCCATGGGCACTGTCTGGTCAGGCTTCGTGGCTGACATTCCAGGTACATTTCTAGCCCTGGGCTGCCACGGGCAAAGGGTGGGGAGAGGGTCGTGGGCTTCAGGCTGGACAAACCAGTCAGCCTTCCCAGCTGGGCCACCTGACCACCCACTTCCTGTGGGGCTCCTTGAGGCCTGGAGGGTGGACGGGGCCTCTGTTCAATCCTCACCTGTGCCCTCTTCCCTTCTCTCCCTCGGCAGGTCCTCACAGCACCTCCTGCAAACAGACCTCCGACCCAAGCCCTTCCTTCTGCCTCCACTGCCACCATTGCTGCTCATCTCTGCTGGCACAGAAGTCTCTTCCCTGGTCCTCCAGAAATCCCCCCTCCATATTCAGCGAGAGGGAGCTATTCAAACTGCGGGCTAGCCCACATCAGTCCCCGGCAAAGTCCTCTCTAAGGGATCCCGTTGCTTGGAGAATAAACCCTCGGATTCCTTCTTTGGCTCTCGGGGCCTCCTCTCTGACCTCCCTCTGTCTCCTCTCCCAGCCTTCCTCCTCACTTACCCTCCAGCCACCCTGGCTTCCTCCTTGCTCCTGAAACAGCCTGAGGCCCACACTGCCCCGGGCCCTTTGCACTGGCTGTTCCCTCTACCTGGAACACTTCTCCCAGGCTTCCACAGGGCTCCCTCCCGCACTTCCTTCGGGTGCCCACCTGGGAAGCGTTTCCTAACCGCCCCCCACTTCCTTCTGAGCACGGTAGGGTCTTTCTACCTGGTATATGAGGGCAGTCTGCTGTGTTCTCTGTGTGCCCCGGTGCCATCACAGTGTGTGGCAGATGGTAAGTGCTCGACACACATCGGCTGACTGCCTGAATGAACAACTCTATGAGCCGATGGCAGATAAGGACACTGAGGTCCTCTGGGGTAGGTGACCAGCCCAAGGCCACACAGCTGGTTTGAAATTAGGCCAGGAGAGGAGCCCGGGTTGGTCACATCCTGGAGCTGGCGTCTTGGAAACTGCATCAGGAGAATAACAAAGATGAGACGCAGGCTCTAACAAGTGGATACCAGTGACTCTCGCCCCGCCAGCCCCAGCCCTGCGGCCTTGGGCCCTTCCAGGAGTCATGGTCTGCCTGCCTGGGGCATTCCAGGCTTTAGCCCAGGTCCTGCGCTTTCTATTTTGAGCCTCTTAGTCCTGAGGACTGTGTGTTCCCAGCAGGCGGCGCGGGCCAGAGGCTGAGCCTGGGTGTGGCTGTCACCCTATCTGGGGCCAGGAACCCAGATTCCCAGGCCCTTAACCTATTGGCTGCTGAGGGCTCTGGCATAAGCCCTGTTCCCTGCTTGATTGTCTTCCCTTCAAGCCCCTGCCCTGGTGTCTTCCAGGCATGGTATCAGCCCATCTCACCTTGGATTATATCCCTGTTTGGCCCCATTTGAATCCTGGCTCTGCCCCTTTCCAGCACTGTGACCTTGGGCAAGTCACTTCATCTCTCTGGGTCTCAGTTTCTTCATCTGGGAAATGGGGACAATAAGAGTACCTGTCTTTGGCCATGTGTGGTGACTCACGCCTGTCATCCCAGCGCTTTGGGAAGCCGAGACGAGAGAATTGCTTAAGACCAAGAGTTTGAGATCAGCCTGGGCAACATAGTGAGACCCCCGTCTCTACAAAATTTTAAAAAGTTAGCTGGGCATGGTGGTGTGCGCCTGTAGTCCCAGCTGTTCTGGAGGCTGAAGCGGGAGGATTGCTTGAGCCCAGGAGTTTGAGGCTGCAGTGAGCTATGATTACGCCCCTGCACATTAGCCTGGGTGATAGAATGAGGCCCCATCTCTAAAAATAACAATACTAATAATAAATAAAAATGAAAACGAGCACCTGTCTTCTGGGGTTTCAGAGGAGATTCAATGTGATGAAATTGATGAGAGTGCCCTGCACGGAGCTGGAAACTCAGAAATCCTCGATAATGAGTTCCCCCACCATCAGCAGCTGGTTTAAATATAAAAACTGTCATGGCCTCTGGAGAAACGACAAGAGTTTGAAGGAGCTTCCCTGCACTGGCCACCGTACACCCTACACCCTTACTTCCTCCCCTCAACTTGCCTGGATTTATCGACCCCCACTACCCCACTGGTTGCCTTCTCTCCACCTGGCACATTCCGTATGAATTTGCTTGTTGGTTTCTTGCCTATCTCCCCAGTAGAACACTGGCTCCATCAGGACAGGAACTTTTGTCTACCTTATGCACCTAGTGCAATGCCTGGCACACAGTCAGTGCTCAACAAATGTTTGTTAAAAGAACCAATAAATGAATAGCGATCTGTCTGGGGAGAGGAGCCCTGAGCTCACCTCCCTCCCCAAGCCCAGGGCTCTCGGGTGCTTGTTGGTGTCAGACCCAGGTCCCCTCTCATCAAGCAGCCAATAAAACTGCCCTGGTTGGCGTTCTCATTTCACAGATGGAGAGACTGAGCCCAGAGAGGGAGAGTCGCCTGTCTGATGTCACACAGAGGTCGGCACCTGGGCTGGGATTCCAGCCCAGGATCATGTGGGGTGGGGGACAGTGGATCAATCTTTTCCTGGAAGGAGTCAATGGTGATGGTGGGAACGGGTCAGGGGTGCTGGCAAGGAGGTTCCAAGGCCCCCAGGAGGGAGGGAGGCATGGGAGATGAGTTAGTCCCTCTTGAGTTCCATCTCTCTCTGTGTCTCTCTGTTTCTGCCTCTTTCTGTGTCCTTGTATTTCTCGGTCCCTGTCTTCGTCTCTCTTTCTCTCTTCCTTGTGTATCTGACTCACTACCCAGGAGGGGATGCAGGCACACACCCCTGGCTTGGGGGCTGGAGTTGGGGCCAATGAGGGGATTGACATCTGGGGTTGAGCTGGGACTCTGAAGCCAGACCCTGCAGCCAGGGCAGCATGCCAGTCTTGGCTCCACACTCTAGGGATAGCCTTGGAACGTCAGGCAGTTCAGAGAGCCCAAGGCCTGGTCCTGGAGACCTGGGTTCCAATCCCAGCTTTGCCACATTCCAGCCTCGTGGCCTTGGGCCCTTAGCCTTTGTTCCTGTAAAATGGGACCATTGAGAGCCTGATCTCAGCGTTTTATGAGGAGGAAGGATGTGAGGGTTGTGCTGGGCTTCCTGAAGCCCTGTGTGGCCTGGAAAACACTCAGTAAATAACTCAGTGTAATGATTTCTTCTAGCAGATGGAGAAAGCGAGAGTTAAAGAGGCCCAATCATTTCACTCACTCATTCCTCAAACGTTATTAAGCACCTGCTATGCACCAGGTGCTTTGTTTTGTATACATTAACTCAGGGTTCAGCAAACTACAGCCTCCAGGCCAAATCCAGTTCACGGCCTGTTTTTATAAATAAAGTTTTATTGGCACACAGCATGCCCATTCATTTGCGTATTGTCCACAGCTGCCTTTACTCTACAACTGCAATGTTCAGTAGTTGTGAGAGAGACCATAACACCCAGAAAGCTGAACATATGAACCCTCTGGACATTTACAGTAAAGTTTGCTAATCCCTGGATTAACCCATTACAACCCTGGAGGAAGGACGTGTCATAAGCTCGATTTTACGGGTTAGGAACTGAGGTCCCAGTGCAGTGTCTGTCACAAGGTTGGGTCTCCATACATAATATCTGGGTCTTATTCCTCCTCTTCTGGCCCATGGGAAGCTGCCAACTCCTGTTCCCTTTCCCTATCCTGCATGGATCATAAGTGGATAATTTGAACCCCGCAGAGGAAAGAATGCTGTTTGAAAGTCAGGTCAACGGAAAGAGTCCTATTTTCAGGTCAATTTGGACCTTGCCAAAGCCTCTTCCTTCTGGTGACCTTGGATGAGAGGTCTGCCACTAGTAGGAGCTTCATAAACAGTTGCTGAACAAGTCATGTGCGTCACGCCCTCGCTGTGAGCTTCAGCTTGCTTGAAGGCTTCCTCCACGTAATTGCAGGAGACCCCACGGCTGGCCGCACACCACCATTGGGGTGAAAGATGGCCTCGAGCCATCGGTGGGAGAACACCCTGGGCATGGAGATGCTTTCTAGAACTCCACGGAAGTGGGGGAGGGGATCTCACTGCCCCCAAGCCTGCCCTGGAGTCTTTGTTCCTTCCTCCCTCATGCCGGAGGCCTGCAGGTATCTGGCTTGAGATGTTGCCTGGCCCTCAAAACACCCAGGTTCCCCCCAAGCTCCTACCCAGCCTCCCCTCTGCTGGCCTTGGGAAGCTCCCAGTTTGCCCTCAGCACTTTTCTGGAGGCCCCAGAATCACCAAGAGGTAATCCTGCCTGCTGCCTGGAGGAGGTGATGTGGGAGACTCATGAACCTGGGGTGTCCCCCAGCCAGGGAACGGGCGTGGTGATCAGGGGCTGCTGAGCACTGCAGTGCCTTCCCTGATGGCCTTGCGTGCCGCCCCATCCCTCCCTTAGAGCAGCCTTCCCATACTGCTGGGTGACACTTGGGTAAGTCATCTCACCTCTTGGCTCTGTAAAACGGGACTGGGGCGGTTCCCACCCCTTCAGGGTGTCATGAGAATGAAAGGCATCAAGTGGGCAGAGCACTTGGCATGGCCCTGAACCACGGTGGGCATTTGTCACACACGCTCATGGACTTACTGCTGGGTCCCTAGGACACCCTGGAGCTCCTCCCCAAGTCGGGCCTGCTGCTAGCGTGAGAAGGAAGAAGGGGGACATAGACACCAAAGATACCGTTCTCATCCCCATCTAAACGCTGGTGACTTCCAAGGGCGTCTCCCCAAGGCCTCCCCTGAGCCTAGACTCAGGTCTCCACCCACCTGTCTCTGTCACTGCTGGGATGACCAGGAGGAGCCTCAAACCCGGGTCAGCCAGGACTTCATTCCTGATCTACCCACTGAAACCAGTCCTGCCTCCGCTGATGGCTCCTCCATCCTACAGGTGGCCCCCCAAACCTGGGAGTCTCCCCTGCCTTCTCCTCACTCGCTCCCACATCTGATCGCTCATCACATCCTGTCGACTCCACCTTCAAGGTGGACCCAGAGTCTGCCCTCGTCTCCCCACCTCCATGGCCCCCGCTTCGGCCACGGCCACCAGCACCACTGCCTGGACTGGTGCAGTCACTTCCTCCTGCCTTCCTTTTCTCCCTCAGCCCCTCATAGTCCGTTCTCCACACACGACCAGAGGGACCTGTGAGATGGGACCCATACCTTCCCGCACAAACCCTCCCAGGGATCCCAGCTCTCTGAGCGAAAGCTCCCTGTGGCCTGTGAGGCCGGGTGTGACCCTGGCTCCCAGCAAACCCTCCACCTGTCTGATGACCTCGCTGCCTCTCTCCCTCGCTTACTCCCTTCCAGCCCTGGCTGGCTTCCTGCTGTTCTTCAAGAAGCCCTGCGTCTTTCCACCTCAAGGTCTTTGCAGGTCCTTGGAGCCCTCATCCACCACGGATGTCCATGACTCCCTCACCTCCTTCAGGTCTGAGCTCGGATGCCACCCTCGACAGCCACCTCCTCTGACCCTTCCCCTGGATTAAGCAGCCTCTGCCTGCTCAACAATCTCTCTCACTACGCCCCTGACCATCCTGTATTCTTTTTTCATAGGGGGAGGGGAAAGGCACTCCCAGGAGAGTGGACAGTGTAGGCCAGGGCCTGGACGTGTGGGCAGTGAGAGGGTGGGTGAGGGGACAGTGGTGGAGCCTGGGTGGTTGAGTTTCAGGGCGAGGCATTCCCCAGGAGTGAGCAGGCCAGGGTCACCCTGACTCCATCAGCCACTGGTTGTATGACCTCAGGAAGCTCTCTCTGGACCCAAGAACCTGCAACTGCTGTTGGAGACCCCCTAAGTGGACCCATCATCTGACAGAGGGGGAAACTGAGTCTGCAAAGCTGCTGCTATGACCTGGTGAAAGGGTCAGCCCAGGGATAGGGACAAACCAGAGGCTTCTAGCAGTCACTTGCACCTCAGTGTGAATGAGCTCCCCGGATTCTTGGCTGTCTTGTAGTCCCTAGACCCCATGGGACTTGGGAGGCAGTGTGAGGGAAGGGCTGAGCCTGGGGTGGGATGAGGGCTGTGTCAGGTCCTGGCCCAGCCTCTGTCCCGGCCCCTGGCTCCCTGCAGGGCTCTGGATTGCACAATCATACCACCCACGGCTGTGACCAAGGCAGGTGACACATGCTTTCTGGGAGCCACCCTTGGGCCGTGCAGTCTCGTCACACATACAGAGCCACCGTTGGCATGGATGCACCCTGGCACAGCCTGACTGTGTGAGAAGTGACTGTTCCTCACACTGCCACTTCCAGGCTGTGTGACTCTGGGCAAGTCACTTCCCCTCTCTGAGCCTCTTTTCCCTCTTCTGTAAGAGGAGGTAATAACAGTTCCTGCTCCCCTGGCTGTTGGAGGGATTGACTCTGCCCCGCCATACTGGCCCTCTGGCTGGTCCTCAAATGCACCTGGCATGCCCCACCCAGGGCCTCCGCCTGTGCCCTTCCCTTTGCTTGGGCCAGCCCTTACACCTCCTTTAGATCTCTGCTCAAACGTCGCAGCTCATGAGGCCTTTCCTGCCCCTGATACTCCCTCCTCACTGAATTCCTCCCCGCATCTCTCAGTGCTACCTGACCCATCATGGTTCCCACTTGTTCTGTCGACCCGCTCCAGGGTGGCAGCTCCATCTTTGTCTCTCCTGATCATCATTGTGTCCCCAGATCCCAACAAAGCACCTTGTACAAGTGCTCAGTCCACAGTTGCAGAATGAATGAATGAATGAATGAATGAATGAATGAAAAGTGCTTAGCACCATGCCTGGCCCTTAGTAAGCACCTGAAACCCAATGCCGTGTGGTGGTGTTAGCTTTGGCTTCCAATTTCTAGCCCCATCAAATCCCACCCTCATCAGCTCGGCGCCCCTGCTTTCTCTGCCTGGCCAGCTTCCTGCTGCCTGTGCAGTCTCTTCCCTGGGTCAGGACGACCTCTCAGGGAATCGTGGGCCTGCAGGGCTGGCTCCCTCTGGCTCTGCCTCCAGCTCCTCTTACATCTCCCGGGGGCAGAGGCTTCTGGGAAACAGGCTTTGAAGCTCCCCTGGGTCAGACCCGCTGGGGCCTTCCTTAGGCATTGCCTGATGTGACCCCATTAGTGAACAAATGGGGACAGTGAGACCTAGAGAGGGGCAGCCATGTCTGATGTCAGGCTTCGGGGCTCCCAAAACATCCAGGGAAGCTTCCAGGACTCTGACTTTGTTGTTTTTGGAACAGAGCTGAGCTCAGGTGCCGGTTTTCTGGATGACGAAACTGAACCCCATTACAGGCTTTAGAGCCAGGTTTCAATCTCAGTCTTGCCACTTCCTGGCTGTGTGATCGAGGCTTGTCACTCGGTCCCTCTGAGCCTCAGCTTCCTTGTCTGTAAAATGGCATGCTACTGGTACCCAACTCACGGAGGTGTTTGAGGGGACAAGGTCAGCCATCCCGCAGGCATGTGGGGTTTCTGGCCTCTCCCACGGGGTCCCGGGACTCCTGGCTCTGGAACCCCTAAGGCCCAGCCCCTCCAGGGCCGGCATGGTTCCCTCCTTGCTGGATAATTTACAGTCCCGGGGCCATTGCTGCTGTTGCTTTATTTTTTTCCCTTCCCCGACTTCTCCCCTCCTTACCCTGGCCTCACTTCTCCAGAACCAGCTTGTTTTTGTTTTCTGTTTTTACGGCTCCATAAATGAGTCACGGGTCTGATCTGATTTAATTTCGTTGTAATTGTTATCTTTTCAAGCTTGTTTTTTTCCACTCGGTTACTCACGAGACCGCAAAAACCTAAACAGGACGGGGCCTTCCCCAGCCTGGCCTCCTGGTCCCCCGGGGCTCCGGGCCAGGGTCAGCAGCTCCTGGAGATTGAGGTGGGGTCTGTGGCGTTTCTGTGGGGAGGG